CCTTTAAGAGATACATAATCCCAGCACTCATCAGAGGACAGTTCTAAACCAGTTCGGGCAATAACATAGTGAGACTGAGTGTAAAGAGGGCAGGAGTGGGGTTATAAAGGAAGAAAAAAAAAAAGGCTAAAAATGGAGCTGTGGCCTTTCCTAGCACAGAGACCCCTGGCCAGCCTGCCAGACCTGTTTCTAATCCCAGGATCTGGACATGAGTTACCACCTCATGGGGAAATTGATGTGCTTCGGTTTTCCTCAATCTTCATGCAGCTCAAACAAAAACCATTCAGCCTTTCTGCTGAACCTTAGTTTAGAGCTGCCCGGTGAAAGTCTTCCCACTTACATTCTATTCTACTGAAAATCAAGGAACTTAAAAAAAATAAAAGTATACCTTATGGGGGACTGGAGAGATGTTTTATAGGTTAAGAGCACTGGCTGCTCTTCCAGAAGACCCTGGGTTCAATTCCCAGAGCCCACACAGTGGATCACAACTCCTGTCCCAAGGGTTCTGGCACCCTCTTCTGACCTCTGTGGGAACTTCAGGCACATGGTGCACAGACAGAAATACACGCAAAACACCCAGAGACATAAAATAAAAATTTTAAACCTAAAAAATAAAATAACCAGTATGTCTTAGTATGCCAGGAATGGTGGAAAATACCCATTATACCAGCATTTTGGAGGCAAAGGAAGGCCAGTGGAATGCCACAAGTGTGAGGGCCACCCAATTCTACATAGTAAGTTCTAGTCTCTATGGGAAAAAGAAGGGAGGGAGGGCGACTACAGCCATGGGTGCACAATGATGGGGACATGAGCTCAGATCCCCAGCACCTATGTGAAAAGCTGTGCCCTCCCACATCTGTAATCAGTCAGTGCCAAGGAGGCAGAGACAGAGAGCTCCCTGTAATGCTGGGTCAAATGTGGATCAGGATGGGAGGAGGGCATTTGAGGTTGATCTCTGGCTTCTATGAAAACGCACATACGCATGCGTGTGCACACAGGTATGCATATGACAAGCCCTCACAGACGTCTGCTTACAACACACACAGATAAAATACAAATGTAACTCTATAGCCTCTATGTTTACTACTAACTCGGTTGAATTTCGGAAAGGGGACTTTAGAAGTGTTTGTAAAGTATGAGCTCAAGGCTTTTCAGAAGTAACAGATGAAAATCACAATCTTCGGCCAGTTCTCAAAGCCCAGGAGAAGCTGACAATAACAATTAACAAAGTGGCTTATTGAATCAAGAGGCATCCAGGTGTTCTCTTCATAACTTGACCAAAATGCTAATAACCTTTTGGCCTATTCACAGGACCGTGCAGACATCACCCAAACTGTTCAGAATGTTTTCATTACTGCAAAAAAGAAATCAGAATTCCTCTCCTTCTTCCCTGACATTCTCAGTCTCAGCATTTGGCAACTAGTGGAGTTTTCTCTTTAGTTGTACCAATTCTGCACATTTCCTTTGGTGTCTGGCTCCTAATATTTAATCCAAAGCTCAGTTTATTCATATAATAGAGTGCTCTTTCTCTCTCTCTCTCTCTGTCTGTCTCTCTCTCTCTCTCCTCTCTCCTCCTCTCTCTCCCTCTCTCTCTCCCTCTCTCTCTCCCTCCCTCTCTCTCT